AGAGGCTCACAGCTCGCTTTCAGGACTATTTTTCCAGTCTGATGAGTCGCTGTCACGCAGTGCTGCGGATCAGGACACAACTGCAGGCACTCATTTCAGCTAAAGAGCTCCTCTCCGTCTGTTTCAGTTAGTGGACATCATTCAGTAAACTGTCCCGTCGGGAAATATGTCGCTACGTCACACAGTGGAGTCTCTCTGATTGGTTGACGCTGCGAGTCAAGCTGCAAAAGTTCAGATTTTCTAACTTCAGCGATTTGCGCCTCAGCGCGTCGAACGCTCAGATCGTTCAAATCGTTCAAATCGCGCTGTTCTAATCGCGCTTGAGGCGCCGCAGAACTTCCCGACGTTGCTTGAAGCGCATCCACCATAGACTTTGTATGTAAACCTGCTGCTCCTGACGCTGAAATCGCGTTCAGTGTGAACGCACCATAATTCAAAAGTTAGTTCRGCAAATCCTAAACCGCCAATTATTTTCTTTATTTCCACATCTTCTAAAGCACACYTCATAAATATTTTATCGGAAGCTAAYTAGATCTYCAAAATTGGCTTAGTGCACCAGAATATATWTATTTCCAGTAATAACATAAGACATTCTTGCACAATGCTGCCATCTAATGGCAGAATGGGTTGCTTTCAGCCCAACTCACATTAAGTCGCGGTTTCAGMAAGTCATTTATACAAACAGATGTTTGATTCATGGTGTWAATTTAATATAAAAAGTTGTTGTGGACTGCAAGTTTTGCTGCTTCTTGGTCATTTATTTTTCTTATGTTTATGGCTTRGGTAAGAAAGCATACAATATATTAGTTTTAAACTGTTTCTTGGAGAGCTGAAGCGATGCAGTCTGGGTAAAGGACCAAGTGGACCCGCCATTTCAAAATAAGAGCCTGAATTTAAACTGTGCCGTGTGTTGCTTGCTTCAATACGATGTGAGACAACGGGTTGATGGATGAAGATTCAGCGTGTCATACATTATTATAATGCCTCCCTCTACCCTCTCAAAGCTAAAATAAGTATATAAACAACAATAAT